CTAAATAGGGCCACAATCCTGCAAGCAGGTCTCATCTAAATAGGCTTACTTCTGGTGGGTGAGGTATACAATCTAAATGTCCCAAAGGCACCCATGGGAACAGGCTCCACAATCAAACTGAAGTGATGATACCAAAATATAGTCATAGAATCATAGAATAGTTAGGGTTGGAAAGGACCTTAAGATCATCAAGTTCCAATCCCCCTGCCATGGACAGGGACACCTCACTCTAAACCATATCACCCAAGGCCTCATCCAACCTGGCCTTGAACATTGCCAGGGATGGAGCATTCACAACCTCCCTGGGCAACCTATTCCAGTGCCTCAACAACCTCACAGGAAAGAATTTCCTCCTTATATCCAATCTAAACTTCCCCTGTTTAAGTTTTAACCCATTACCCCTTGTCCTATCACTACAGTCCCTAATGAAGAGTCCCTCCCCAGCATCCCTATAGGCCTCCTTCAGATACTGGAAGGCTGCTATGAGGTCTCCATGCAGCCTTCTCTTCTCCAGGCTGAACATCCCCAACTTTCTCAGCCGATCTTCATACAGGAGGTGCTCCAGTCCCCTGATCATTCTCGTGGCCCTCCTCTGGACTTGTTCCAACAGTTCCATGTCCTTTTTATGTTGAGGACACCAGAACTGCACACAACACTCCAAGTGAGGTCTCATGAGAGCAGAATAAAGGGGCAGGATCACCTCCTTCAACCTGCTGGTCACGCTCCTTTTGATGCAGCCCAGAATACGGTTGGCTTTCTGGGCTGCAAGCACACACTGAAGCCAGTTCATTTTCTCATCGACCGGCACCCCCAAGACCTTCTCCGCAGGGCTGCTCTGAATCTCTTCTCTGCCCAGCCTGTAGTTGTGCTTTTTCTCTTCAATATTGCATCCCTTATTTAGCATTCGTTTCCTAATTGTAAAGGAGGTTCCAACATCTCAATGAGGTTTTGATTCACCTCATGCCTTACAGCAAAGTGAATTTCAAGCTGCGGATACAATTTCTGTGGTGTTCTCTAATTTCACCTCCCATTCCGTACTGTAATACACAACTGAAGAACCTACACAACTGAAGAAACTACTTGTCACTACAGAGTATATTTTTACTGTGAGGGGGGTGGCACACTGGAATGGGTTGCCCAAGGAATCTGCGAATGCTCCATTCCTGGCGGTGTTCAAGGCCAGGTCGGACAGAGCCTTGGGTAACATGGTTTAGTGTGAGGTGTCCCTGCCCATGGCAGGGGGGTTGGAACTTGACGATCTTCAGGTCCTTTCCAGCCCTAACTATTCTATGATTCTATGATTCTGCGATTCTACAGAGAACCAGAGGGAGCACCATTATTTTACACAGAGAAGCAAAAGAACACATTTTGAAACAATGGCAGCAAATCTGGACTTTAGAGGCATAGGGTCATAGAATCATAGAATAGTTAGGGTTGGAAAGGACCTTAAGAACATCGAGTTCCAACCCCCCTGCCATGGGCAGGGACACCTCACTCTAAACCATATTACCCAAGGCTTTGTCCAACCTGGCCTTGAACACTGCCAGGGATGAAGCATTCACAATCTCCATGGACAACCTATTCCAGTGCCTCACCACCCTAACAGGAAAGAATTTCCTCCTTATAAACTTCCCCTGTTTAAGTTTTAACCCATTACCCCTTGTCCTACCACTACAGTCCCTAATGAAGAGTCCATCCGCAGCATCCCTAAATGCCCCCTTCAGATACTGGAAGGCTGCCATTCCATGCCTCCTGTTGGACAAGATAAAACAATTGCAAACTAAAGTAAGACACTGTTCAGTCAAGTATCAAAGTCTCCCATGCAGAATTCAACCTGCCTTGTTACCACATACATCTCTCAAATTTTCCTTTAAACTAAAATAAGATCTGTCTTACCTGTACTTCTCCATTTATACTTCCTTAGGATTGTCAGGAAAGGAATACCGTTTTTACATATCCTCTAGGATATAAAAGTATGTCTTGCTCAGTGGAACTCTCAAGGTTCATGACTCCTGGACATTTACACATGGCTGTTATTAACAAAAAAATTTAATACAAATTTGAAGGGGAAAGGTGAGAGCAATCTTAATTATGCATCATTTTAGCACAGTCATAAAAAATCTCTCATCAACAGAAGAATTTTCTTAAATACAGATGAACCACATATACACATTTTCATTTGCTGCCATTAAATGTGTGTGCAAAACTATCTGGGAACCCATCAGCCTGTGCTTCAACTGATCCATCTAGACAGAAAATAAAGAAAGAAGCAATACACCATATGACTTAACAGATAATTTTAAAGTATTTTTCAAGGGTGTTTAAAATAGATTCAACATGAAATTGAATTTTTGCAAGTAGGTAAAATTTCATGTAACTTTTAAAAGCTGTATTACTTTAATAGCTGTAGACAGTGGGCCAAATTCAGCTTTAATGTAAAACACATTGAATTTAATGAAAAGCTTCATTGAATTTACTGGCAATTTGCCCAGCTGCCACAGGATTCAGTTTTGCACAGTCTTACACTTTCCTCCCACTGCTTCTCAGAGCTGTCAGATGTATGTATTATAGAAGTTTTCAGAAGCCCAGGACCAGTAGTGCAAGTGGATTTAATAGTCTAATATCAAAGAGCCCGTGGAGAAAAACCACCCTGCAATTCTGTCAGGGGAAGTAAACAACACATCACCATTTTCACTGCCACCTTTGTAAAAGGCTATTTTTTAAGTTCTACAAATACTTTGTTCTGAATGGCACCCCTGAAATTTAAACTGAAGCCTGGACTCCCAAGTGAAAGACTGAATTAGAAGCAAATAAATGTCAATTTTTACTTTTGCACTAGCATTTTACAGTCCCACTTTGCAATAATTCAAGTAAGAATTATGAGCATCTGATTATCAACAGAAGACACGTTTCCTCTGGAAAAATTCTGTGCAGAACACCAATTGAATTTCCACAACACCATGACTCTAAGACCCAAATAAGTTGCCCGTGTGTGTTCTTCACAAGTAATGTAAGCAATTTCTAGGAGGCAATATTCATGACAGGATAGTCTAGAGCCATCTCAGATTGTTTTAAAACAGAAAGCAGTACCTGACTTAGCAGGCACACCATAATACCATGCCACAGCTATCCTTAAATTTGAAGTGCTATCTTCCTTTTTGATACGAGCCTGCTCCACCACAGTGAAAAGCAAACAAAATATTGTTTCCTTGCTTCATTACTCTAGTAAGAAGGATTGACGACATGCTTAGCTGGCAGGAAAAAATAATTTATTTCACTGTCACCTTACTTGTTCACCTGCTGCAAGGTAAATAGAAGCTAAGTCACTTTTTATTTATTTAGCTTATGCAAGACACCCATACTGACATAGCTAGCATTATCTGTTATATACAACCACTCTATTATACTGATCACAGAAAACAAAAATAGTGCAAGACCATCTATAACCAACTTCACTCTTAATATGTCTTGAAAACAGCACTTCACCTTTTAGACTTTTGAAGACAATGCCTTTTTTTTTTCACTTATTACTTTCCCGATTTAAAATGTGCTTTAAAAATAACAGTAATTGAACTTAGCTCATATTCAAAATGTACTAGGAAAATAAACAGTCCACGTAGGAGTTTTCAGTGTCTGGGCTTTATCTGTTATCAAGGGTCTATTATCACTATTAGTAAAATCTCTTTGTCATAACAGTAAAAAAATAAATTACATGATAAGTATAGTTGGAAATACAGTTAAAGAGCCAATTCCCATGTTAATTTGTCAGAGAAATTTCCCGCTAGGGCGTGGCTGAAAGCAGAGAAAGTAAGTACGGATTGTACAGAGATTACTATCTATTAGTGTAAAGCATATCTTTTCCTGTGAAGTGAAGAATGGTATGAGCTCCACACTCAAAATGAGAGTATAAATTTGACTCAACAAAGCAGCTTGCCTGCAGGAGCTTGCTCCACTCTCTTATTTCATAGCACAAATAAAATGCTTTATCCTGCCTTTGCAAATAGAGTCAAACATTCTAAGTAAAACCTTATATTGAGGGGACAAGCAAAGAATTTATCTTTCAGGAGATCGCCTGAGAGGGAAATGAGATGCAAACAGATACAAGGCCAAAGAATTGAACGTGGTGAGAGTTTGGCTTCATGTTTTTCTGTTTCCTGTTGGCTTCAGCACATGCAGCTTTGTGGTCACTTTGGTAGATTAGCAACTGGCTCTGACACTCAGCTGGCCTCTGGATGGTCCTCACCTGCAGCTGGCTCAGTGGGCTGTGTTTTCCTGAAGTCTGGAAAAGTACTGAATTCATACCTTTCTTGGCCATAATAATAAGTTGTTGCTGTCTCCACAGATTACAAACACAGGCAACATTTCTCTCTCTGCTGCGTGAATTCTGGCATGCACCGTTACTTCACTTACAGTAAATAAGGAGGTTGCTTACTGCTGCAGTGCTTACCTATTGAAATATTAATATTTCAGGAATACATTAATGTCTTTGAAATTATGTCTTTTTTGATACCTTCACATTTGAGAGATCTCTATTTTCTAATGACAATTTTGTAGATATGCAAACGTTTTCTAAGAACATGAACATCTTTTGCTCCCCTGAAGTTCTTGGGTTGCTGTGTTAGAACCAATCTGAGGCTTCATCTTCCAAATGGTCACTTTCTCACACATGTAAACATATGGCAGCATATTCAGTAGGGAAACTGAAACTACCTGCAAGAGGGAGGGCATTTACCTAGTGGAAAATCCAGGTTCAAGACTCTCATGTAAAGCAGAGAGAACAAACTGACCTTTGTGTTCTCTTGGTTCATGCATATCCATTGGCTGGTTAGGTATGCAAGTTTTCTTCAGTTTTAACCAGAAAATCCTTCTTGAAACCAAAGTTTGGTTGAAATTGGTACATTTCTGGAAAAAGAAAAAAACCTTCCCATTTCAGCAACCAACATTTTCACTGAGAGATTCTGACACAGTTCTCATGGTAAATAGATATTTTTAAATTTTTATTATGATTCAGTAGTGCTATATTTATGTAGAGTACATTATGTTCTGTTTACTTAATCTCAGAAGATGCAACAGTAATATATGGAACAGTTAGATACAGTGGGAAGACATTATACATACATTTGATATATTCACCTGCTATTGCTGTATGTTTATTGGACAGCAATGAAAAAAATATAAAATATTATAACACTTGATCTTCAATGACAATATTACACTAATGCATCATATTTTATGTATTCCAAAGAGACTCTTCCTTTCCTCTTTTCACTGGAAATCACCATCTCCTTTTTTCAAGCTGTTGTACACTCATTTGGCAATAGCAGATATTTCACTTTCCTGACAATTCTGGGTCTGAAAAGGAAAGATATGTTTTGAGGTATACTTCACATCATAGAATTGTAAAAACATAGAATCATAGCATGGCTTGGGATGGGAGGGACCTCAAAGATTATCTACTTTCAAACCCCCTGCCACAGGCTGGAACACTTTCAACTAAACCAGGTTGCTCAAAGCCACATCCAACCTGGCCTTGAACACTTCCTGTAAGGGGGCATCCATGCCTTCATATTTTCATCCACACTGTCCTACTAGGCCATACTTATGTGTGCACTGTGCAGAGATCTCAGCATCCTCAGCTTTTATCAGCCACATCCAAACGCTGGCCTTGCTATTACTCTGAAGCACTTGACCAGCAGCCATAACTTTGATCTCCACCTTCAAGCTAAACCAAAAATATAGAGAGCTATCTCCAATGTTTCTGTTGTATAAGTATATAAGCTCATTTTCAACTTTTTAGAAGAAACAATGGATTTTAATATACCACAGCTGTTGACATGCAGCACTCTTTGGTGCTAACAGCAGAAAACAAAAGTAGAGAAAGTAAAGAAGCAGCCTACCACAGTCTTGCAGAAGATCCTTGCGTGAGACAACAGAGACTCTAAGTGAGAATTCGGTTTCCCTCACATTCGTATCTTCTTTTCTTGTTAGCAGATGAAGATCTGACTAGCAGTCTCCAGAGGAGTGCACTTGGAGAACATTTACAGTCAGCCACCAATGAGCTAATAATATCTGGGTAACAATATCCTGGCACCCACATTTTATCTCAAGATTGCAGCAGGTGGCAGCCAGTTTTGTGCCATAATTTTCTCTGTATGCTGGAGATGCTTTCTTCAGTAATCTGAGCAGAAATCAACTTTACTATCAGTAGAACTGAGTTGAAATTTATTCTCTCTGCATGCTGCTATCATGAAGTAATCTACTAGAGCCTCAGCCATGCATCTTGCATTAATATAAGTTCTAAACCTCTTCAGGCATCTGAGTTTTTGCACATTTTCCTTATCTGCAGCATCTGGCTGGCCTGCAAGTGAAAGCCTGGCTAAAGAAGTACTGACCCCTTTAAACTGTTTTCTAATCTTACCAGTTATTTTAAGATAAAAGATAGTGCAACTTTTTTTGCAAGTTTGGATTCTCTGCCTTTTGTTTCATTTTATGCTGCTTACAGCTGCATTTTGGGTACTTTGGTTGATTTCTGTCACCTTGGTTGAGGATGTTTAGAGCTCCCAAAATGATGCAGAACAGGCTTATGTAATCATGGCTGATTCTTCACAGTTTGGAGAAAAAAGCACAAAAAGTTCTCACTTGTGAGATTTTGTTTTTCCATTCCACCACTTCAGTGGACAAACTTTCTTGTTGTGACACACTTGATTTTTAAGACGTTGAAAGAGATTTGATGAACTCATGGAGGTTAGGGCTCCCAGAAAGCCACTGCTGAGCACATGAAATGAAAGACTACACCATACTCGCACTGTTCACTACAACTTACTCATACCATTCATGGGCTATTTTCAGAGATAAGAGGAAGTGCATCCCAGTATAGTAATTCTTACAAACTATATTTAACCTCCAGAAATTTCTTTTTGGTATTTTGAAATTAACCAGCATACTTTCTGTCTGACTAATTAGTCCAACATTCTTCTAAAAGGCTTTAGTTTGCTTAATTTTTAAATTTACTTATGGAGAATTATCAAATACAACTACTCCAGTACATTTAGGTGCCTGCTCCTTATAATTTCTTTCAAGTTATTCTGATAAATGGATGCAGCGATGTTTGCTAACCACAAAACACTATCTTAGAGAACATCTTTGAGGCACAGAACAGTTTTCACAGCTGCTACAATTAAAGTAAGAAACACTTTATGGAATTCATTCACTTTCTGGAGAATACAACTTACAGGGTCTGGGCTAGAAAAATGATATGGAAACACAAGTTGCTAACCCAGCCTGTACCTGCCCCACTCTGGTAAAACACACCCTTTTAACTAGAACAAAACTTAAGGAATTTTGCATTTACTGACAACAGCCAGTGACAGTGATTTCCAGGCATTTCTTTTTTTTGTCCTCTGAACTTCAAGGCAATTTAAAATCTGTATTGCTGCTTTCTTCTAGGCAACCTGGACCTATGGGAAACTTTAATAATGTCATTGAATAAAAGAAAGAAATAAATTGATAGATGCAATGTACACTCCACCATTGCACACTCATTCTTAAATGGTCCTCTGCCTTCAAGTCAATCTTCCATAAGACTCCCTAAAGTCACTGGAGTTCATACTTCACTCACATGTTTTTAAAGCATCAGTCTCTTCTCTCCTCTCCCCAGAAATTAGATTTGGCACTAAAATGCTTGTCATAGCTCTGTATTTTAAAAATCTATCAGTCTGCCTCATTTATCATAGATCACACTAATATTTTAATAGTTAATAATAATTAATTAACTAATTTACCAACTCTGCTGATTATCCATTTTAACTTCTCAGACAAAGAACTGCTGTAATGAACGATGTGAATTTTGTGACTGAGACCTTATGACATGGTGTAGTCACTAATTTGTCTGGTTAAACTGGCACTGGAGGATATCTTGTGTCTTTCCCATTTAGTTCTAGATAACAACGATGATTTTGTTAACACGGGACTTTAGGCTCCTTAAATGTCTGCTGTTCCATTACATTTAGAAACACTGCCTAAATAGAGTATGAAATCATATATTCATCTTTTACAGAGACATTAATGAGCGGGAAAGAAAAAAAAAGCTGAACTTAACCCTACCCAACATACAAATTTAGCAGTGGAATTTCCATCCCAAGTACAGGAAATACCATCTTAAAGATAAACACCGTAGTATGTTGAAGATGCATATTATACATGAAATATTTCATTATAAACCTTGCCTGACATCTAGTACACACTTCGGAAAAGCTCTTTTGGGCTCTACTTCATTGATTTTAATGGAAACCAGAAGCCTATTCTATAAAGTACATATAGAAGGCCATATACCACAATGCAAGTAATTTGGCATACATCTATAAGTCTTGAAAGGAGAGGCACTTACAAGTGTGAATGTGAATTGCTTTGCAATCTGCAGTGTGGTAATATAGCTGTCAACCATATTTCATGTTGTTCAGGACTATGGATAGAAAGCATCTCTGGAAAGACATGCTTTTTAACTATCAGAGACTGAATGACTGACATCCAAATACCTTTTTTTCTATTGGTGTCTAAAAAAGTCCTGTGAAGTGCAATAGAGATGACTACCTTTCATGGAACATGGGAAACTTACTTACAATGGGGTTAAAAGAAGAGAAATCCTTCTATAGAGTGTGCATGTAATATTATATATAGAGAGAGAATTCATGTACTTGCATATAGCTATAAATGGGAAAGTTGGTGGTTTTGGTTTGGAGGTTTTGTGATGAATGTTTATAAGGTTTCAATTCCTCCTGAGTCTGAACCCTTGAGTTTTACTATGGGTTATGGGGTAACAAAAAATAATACTCAAAGCAATACCTACCAAGTTACCGAGACGCTCCTTTCTTCAAGACAAAATCATTAAAACCCACCAAATCTAGGCAGCATTTCTATCTGTTGTCTAATACTCTCTGTTTAGTTTCACTGCAAAGTTTACAGATTTTGGCAAACCTTATCTGAGTTCTAGTTTTGTAGCAGATCATGAAGACATGAAAGTGTCTACTTGCTTCTGCTTTCATTATGAAAGCTCCCCCAACATTTATGTGTGACCATCTAAATCAGAGAATTCTGGCTGAATTAATGAAGTAGAGTCATTTGGGATCTAAGAAAGATAAATTTTACTTCTATAGCACAATAACATGATTTATCTTAAACCCTTTATTTTCTTGCTCAATTTGGTATCTCACTTTCAACTGCTCTGATGTGCTGTGTATTCTGAGCAATACACCAGATTTCTCTACGGTGCAATTTCTTCCTATTCTGTAATATCAAGATAATGTTTACTCAGCTTTGTAAAGGTGCTTAGACAATTTAGGATAAATGACTAAAACCAATTACTATAATGTTCTAACAACTGTATGAGCCATATGTGGAAAAAAAGGTATGTCATTCACAGAGCAGGCATTTTAAAATGAAAGTTTTCAGCATTCAGATTCTGTGGTGAGGGCAGGGTTTGAGTTGTATATGTAGTAATATTGCGTTCAGTTGCAATGTTGCTGCTTAGATGGAATTAATCTTTTAAAAACCTGTTCACCTCTATAACAAAACTTAGAATTTAATAATCAGTTCAAATCAGTCCAATTAGGCATGTAATCCAAATAACTTTTCTCGAGCAATGATTAAGAAAATATCCTTGCATACTTGGTGTCCTGTAGCCTCTAAACATGCAGTACATATTTCACTTTAATATCTCCCTACTATTCAGAAGCTGATTAAAATTACAAAAAAAAAAAAAAAAAAAAGAACTTTGAAATTGTTAAGAAGGAAATCAAAGCGTTTGTTAACAGATAAAAAACCAGGGTCAGTGTCTGATTCACTGGCGCTTTCCCAGGCACGAGACTTTTTTTTCCCCAGAGGTCACCAGGTCCAGGCAAGCTGCATTCTTTCTGCCAGGCACTTTGTAATGTGCAATGAACAGTGTCATTTATTTTCATTTCCTCATACTTAATTGCATGCTTCTTGCTTCCAATATTAAGCCAGAAGGCAGGTGTTAGAAGCAGTAAACTAAACTACTACTAGCTGTCAGAGTTACGGACCATGCTACTCTCCTCTTGAAACAACCCAATTGTTTACAATTCAGCAGAAACAGCTGAACTGGAAAAACACTTACTTGCATTGCACATTCAATAGAGATTTTTTCTTTTATTCTAAAAAAAAAACAACCAAACCACCAAAACAAAACCAAAACTAAAAAATAATACTCCATACTTAGCAAACACATGCTACTTAAATTTATCAGCATTCTATCACAATAAGAGGAAGCAATATCAGAACTTACTGTTTTGGTCAATGTACCAAAAATACTTTGAAGGTACGGTAGGATGACTGCTTTAGCCAAGTAACATGCCAGTAATGCTACTTGTGCAATTAATGAACTCACTACTAAGCTATTTAAAAATTTAATGACTATGCCTGAATATAGAAATAAGATGTTTATCAGGTATGCAAAATTTAAGCTTATCATTATTTGGAATTCAATTATTTAATTCATTGTGGAGGTTAGCGTTCATTTAATTTTCCCCTATTATAATAAACAAAATAAAGCTTTATCAAAGATTCGATTCCCTAAATAACTTCATTTTGCCAATGAGTATGTAGTTTATTTGCATATTTATATGTGATGCAAAGTTCTCATGCCACTATTGTGCTCATGGGTGGCACTTTATAATGTATGCAATTTTTTTCAGTAGCAGCACTACT